ATGATTTTGAGGTGCGAAACCCATATGGATTTCACCTTGAGCCCTCCACAGTAAGAAAGTGCTAAGTACCACGCGGGCCAGCAATGCGGCGATCACACGCCAGCGTTCGCTTCCCAAGCACCGCATTCGCATCAATTGCCACTGCCATTGTCCTCTTCGCCCTCCGCGCCTGCTCCAGCAAGCCATCCAAGTCTAGTAGATGCTGTGTCGCATTCGTCGCCGGGCTGCTCTGCATGACAGAGATGATCGGCGGCGAGCGGGGGGGGGAAGCGAGAAGGAGAAGGCCCTCTCAGAAGGCGGCGGGAATGATTATGTCTTCGGGGAAGGCTTAGAAAACTTCTCAGAAGGTCGGGGGCTTCCAGACCTTCTGAGAAGGCCCTCTCCCTCTCATTTCCCCCCCTCGCTCGCCGCCGAGATGGGCAGTTACAAAACAAAATGCCAACCCAGCTAGACTAAAATCCACTGCGGCCGCGGCGGGGTTGGCTACTCGAAAACGCGCCGTCGCCCCTGCCTGCGCCCACCGTCGATGAAGTAGTACACCCACGCTTCGTTTATTACATGCAGGCGGTGAACAACACCATAAATGCCCAGACTCCAACATTCCGCAGTCGACTCTATCATGGTGCCCTCCTGGCACAACAAAACGTCCCAGCGCGGACCGTTGTCTAAGGTGCCCCCTATATCTGTAATCATCCTTTCCTCCATCCCCTTTGAGTTCCGGCTCAGGACCGTCAAAGACTTGATCACGAATGCGTTGGATGCTTTGTCGCCTTTCACGGGACAAGAAAAATCAACCTGTGCAATTGGCATTGTTTTCACCATCCCTGCCCCCCGTAAAATCGACAATAGTACATTTCCGCCAACCCTCGTATACTGTCCTCGCCCCCTCCCTGGAGACCCTCTGGTGCTTCCTTTTTGCCGCACAGCTCATCGAACTTCACTTTGCACGCTGCCGCGCCCCCGGTGAACTGCATCTGGCCGTCGGCCCGCATCGCTGCACGCTTCTCCTTCCACCAGACGATCCCCTTCTTGTTGTTCGTGTCGATGTCCCGCTTGATGGAGTCGCCGACCCCCCGTTCTCCTCGATAATGGCCATCATCAACTTCCTCACTGCTCTCTCTCGTCTTACCCCCTCTAAGTGCTGATCCTGTTGCTTGAAATAAACGCTGCAATAGATCCGCTTACCCTAGTACTCGTGCCTGCGCCGAGCTGCGGCTCCGCCGATGTAGTCCCGCATGGCGTCCGCCGTCTTGAATCGGGCCCCCTTCTTTCTGCGAACTTTTTGCCGCATGCGAAAATCTCGTCCAGATCCGCCACCACTTCCTTCAAAATGCCTTCGATGAAGGTCACGACGTTGGTTGCCTTGGTATCTTCCGGGAACGTCCCGACAGTGATCGTGCGCCCTCTTCCTTCTTCCCTCTTCCCTCCCCTCAATTATCCCGCTGCCTTGCCCCCCGGTCGGCCTTGCCGTCGGCGTCGTCTTGGCAATGTTCCTGAAGTTTTGGGATTCTTCTTCCAGCTCCTTAAGGTGCACCATTAACCACGGGGGGTGGGGGGGGAGATCCTAATATTCTCTCGAACAGGGAAAATACATGTGGCGCAACCTGCGGGGCGCAAGCATCGCGGCGCCATTCGCCCTGCCGAACTTGAAGTTGTCTTTTCCTTTGCTCGCGCACTCATCCCACCCACCCACCCGCAAATTGGTTTGCAAAGCCCATGCGGCGGCGATTGTGATGACTGCTCGGCGCTGGCTGGCGCATCGCCGCGGCCGCGCTAGCGCGCATGCTCGCGCGCGCAGCGGCCAGTTTGTCTGGCGCCACCGACGCGGCCGCGGTTGCGCTGACCGCTGGGCACTTCCCAGCGGGCGTTTCAGTGCGAGTCGGCGGCTTGGGCGGGCGTGGCATCATGGCAACGTCGACAATGGTAAACACGATGGTGATGGCTGCGATGTTGGTGGCGATAATGACAACGACGACGGCACAGCAAGTGACAGAGCCAATGCTGATCACGCCGACGACGATGACGGCGTCCTCGCCTCGGTGATGAAGGTTCTGGAAGGAGTTCGACATGCGTGTGCGGCTGACGCGCAAGAGTGGCCCGCATGGTGTTATTTGACATGGATCGTGCCCACCCCCCGCCCCACCCCCCCAGTACGCGCACAAGTGCGTTCAACTGATTTCGGCATGCGGCGCAAGAGGCCCGTTTGGCCGAATGGAATGAAAATGTTGAAACGTTGATGGTCCCCTTAAGAACTCGCAAGACAGCGAGCGCAATCTTTTGTTGGAAACCTGGTGTTTGAAACGATTGTGCGTTTATGCGTGTTCGGGACATTCGATTTCGAAATCATTGCGAAATTCCGAGGTTTTTGAAGAATTTTGGAATGCGTGCGCGACGACGCGCGCGCGCATTCCGTCCCATTTGTTGCAAGGGACATTGCGACAGCACGCGCGAAAGGGCGTCGTTGCGATTCCGACATTCCCGCGCGAGGGGCCCGCTAGGTAGCATGTTACGAAAATGTTGAAAACCCCTGGTTGGTTTAAGCATTTACAGAAGCGCAAGCGCAGGTTTGTTTGAAACACGTTGTTGCGAAACCATGTATTTTGTTTCATCATGTATTCGAGACAATCGGTTTTGAAATATGTACGAAACTTATTTGTTTGAAGGATTGCGGCATGCGCGCGCGACGGCGCGCGCGTGTGCACTTCGCGCCGGTTTTGCAAGGCACTCTTGACAATTTATGAGTTGTATGTTTCGGGCGCGCGCGGTTTTTTCTTTGGGGGGGAGATCGAGGGAGGGGGATTATCGATTTGGCTGGGATGATGTGGGCCACTGTTACGATGGACGATGGGGCAAAATCAAATGTTAAATTCAATCCGAAAAGAAGGGCCCGTTAAGTCGGGGGGGCGGGGTAGATCTTATTACTGCTCCAGACAGGAGAAGCCATGTGGTGCAATCTATGTGGTACAGTGTGTGTTGTGCAACGTATAGGGTGCAATCTGCGTGGTGCAAATCTACGGGGTGCAAGGTATTACATGGTGCATTGCATGTGGTGCAACCTATTACGTGGTGCAATACGTGGGATGCAATCTATGTGATGCATCATGCGTAGTGCCATCTATGTCGTGCAATCTGTGGGGTGCAATCTACGTGATGCAATATATATATATATATATATATATATATATATATATACGCGGTGACATAATTTTGAGCGGCGGCGAGGCGGCGACGGGGCGGCGACGGCAGCAACATAGCCGCCAGGCCGGCAAAGCGACGACGCGGCGACGGGGCGACGGCAGCAACATAGCCGCCAGACCAGCTAACAGGCCCAGACGACAGGCGGCGACGGGGCGGCGACGGCGGCAACATAGCCGCCAGAGCGGCAGAAATGCCCACTTCTTGAGAGCAGTAGCAAGAGCCCCTAAGTGCAAGCACTGCTCGGGGAACATCCGGAAGATCACCTTGCTTTCAAAATTGCTTGCACCAAAAATGTACGCGGAGACGGCGGGACATCTTCGGGACAGGGTGAGTGAAGGGAGGAGGGTTGCATTCAGCATGTAGAGTTGAAGAGCGGAGGAGGAGGAGGAGGAGGAGGAGAAGGAGGGAGGAGGAGGGAGAAGGAGGGAGGAGGAGGGAGGAGGAGGAATAGGAGGAGGAGGAGGAGGAGGAGGAGGAGGAGGGAGGAGGAGGAGGAGGAGGGAAGAGGAGGAGGAGGAGGAGAGGAGGGGAGGAAAGAGGAGGAGAAGAGAGGAGAGAGAAGGAGGGAGGAGGAGAGAGAAGAGAGGACGACGAGCAGGATGAGGACGAAGACGAGGAGGACGAGGACGAGACGGGGACTAAGACGGGGACGAAGACGGGGACGAGGGGGGGAGGAGAGGGAGGAGGAGGAGGAGGAGGAGGAGGCGGAGGAGGAGGAGGGGGAGGAGGAGGAGAGAGGAGAGAGGAGAGAGGAGGAAGCAAGCTTACCACACTCACACCGTATCCGACGTCCTACCTCTCCGTACATCCCTTTTCCACTGCGTGCACGCTTTCTCTATTCGCAGAATCGGGTATAGTTGACACCACGGTCTTTCCCGGTGATACAAAGCAGAGCACGGCACGCAAGAGCCGCCCTTGGGAATACACAAAGCACATGCGGAAGCGGGGGGCGGCCAGCTCCGCGGCGAGATCGCCGTTCCGTTGGGCGGAAGGTGTATGAAACAGATGTGCCAGTGTTCACAGCATACCTCTGCTGACTGACTGACTTACAAGCAGCACACCGAGCGGTGCGTGGGCATGAACGCTGGTTTGCAGAAGAGCCTGGGCCTTGGCTACACGCCGGGCCACTGCAGTCGGATCCCAGTGAGAAGCTGTACTTGTGCGCTGGTAGCCAAGGGCAGCACAAGCGGGAACGGCGCGCAAGTGGGTCACACTGGGACGGCCAAGAGGAGGAGGAGGAGGAGGACGACGAAGAGGAGGAGGAGGAGAAAGTGAGGAAAAAGGAGCATACCTCTACACGTCGAAAGGTGTGCCGCTGAAGCGCATCACGGTTAGACCAGACCAGGAAGCGCGCAGGGAAGAAGTCAGGAGACAGTTGAGCGGAGAGGCGACGCGCATCATGGAGTTGCGTTGTGCGCGAGACAGAGGAAAGGAGGAGAGGAACGGGAGGGAGGGAGGAGGATGAGGCGGAGGAGGAGGAGGAAGGCGACAGTTTTTGATTCCACTGGCACTGATGACCGCCCAGGCCAAAAACAGATGGAGGGAGACGCGGGGATGAGGAGGAGCAGCAGGAGAAAAAGGAAGGGGAGGAGGCGAAGGACGCGGAGGAGGAGGAGGAGGAGGAGGAGGAGGAGGAGGAGGAGGAGGAGAGGGAGGAGGGAGGAGGAGGAGGAGGAGGAGGAGGAGGAGGAGGAGGAGGAGGGAGGAGGAGGAGGAGGAGGAGGAGGAAGGGGGGGAGCGCAAGACCCGCCATTGAAGGGGGCCCGCCTCTTTTGTACTGGCTCCTTTGCTGTCGCCGCCAGGCCGGTGTCAGCTCCGAGAGGCAGGAGCGCAACAAGCACAGGAGAAGGGGATACTACCACCAATTCGCTGGCGGCTCCCAGGGCATAGACACGGCGAAAGTTGAGAAGGTGCAGAAGATGACCAAAGCCATGTCGAGGGACTTCGACATGACCGAGAGCCAAGCCGTGAGAAGGATGAAGTCGTCACAGTCAGATCCCGAGCTGGAAAAGAAGCTGAAGTATCGAATGCACTCGATGAGGTCCGCAGTAGCCCACAACACGTCGATGCTCGCGTCGCTGATCAAGCACCACCACTTCGACACCGCCATCACCATCATCGTTCTTCTGAACGCGCTGCTGATCGGGGCTCACACACAGCTACAAGCCTTGCACTACAACAACGCCCCAAGCACGCAAGTGTTCCTGGTGGCGGCGGAGAAAAGAAGTGAGGAAGCGAGGGGGGGGGGGGCGCAGGAGGATCGGGCCGAACGAAAGAGGGGGATAGGGAAAGGGGGGGGGGTACGAAATCTACTGCATGTAGCTGGTTTCGGCCCCGCCGCGGGGCCCATTCCTCGATACATGGGCGCCTCCCGGCGCTGGGAGGCGCCGGGAAAATCAGCTACGCGAGCTGATTCTCAACCCCCCCGCTTTGCTATCCCCCTTTTCGCCCGGCCCGAGAGGAGCGGGAAGGGAGGTGAGGACAGGGGGCGGGTGGACGAACGCGCCAGGTGGCGGAGCATAGCTGTACGCTCATATTCTTGGTCGAGCTTGTGGCTCGGATCTGGGTGCATCAGGGCAAGTTCCTCTCAGACCTCCACGAGAAGTATTGGAATGCATTCGACGCCTCGCTCGTGTTCGTGTCCCTGCTGGACCTCGTCATCACGATGTCCGTCGCGGACGATGACAGCGGTTCGGTGTTGAAGGTGCTGCGGGTGATCCGTGTAGCCAGGGTCATGCGTATCCTCCGCACAGTCAGGTTTGTGTCCGAGTTGAGGGTAATGGTGCAGATGATCATATCTTCGATGTTGTCATTGTCTTGGATACTGGTGATTATGGTGGCCCTGATCTACGTGTTCTCAATCATCTTGACCACAGGGGCGACAGACTATTTGAGTATTCATGTCGAAAAGAATAGCGACGCTAGGCCCAGTCAGTACGACCATGTCCATGATGCATTCGGGTCCCTCTTCGAGACCATGTACACACTTTACAAGGCGATGGCTGGCGGTATAGACTGGGCGGAAGTGGCCTCCTTGTTGCGCGAGGCTGGTTGGGTCTACGAGGCGATTCTGATATGTTACACGTTTTTCACAATTTTTGCAGTGATCAATATACAGTTGCGCTGCCGCGCGAATCTGCTCCCGCGTTGGGGGGGTGCCAGTGAGGGTGCAGGGGTATGAAAACGGAAAGCGATACGAGGAATTATGATGTCTCTTTGTGTGTGGAAGGCGACAAATCAGGGACCTGTTGTAAATCTTGAATACACGTGAGGCGCAATGCGTCGGGGGCCTATCTATTGCCTCGAAAGGAGCGAAGGTAACGAATACATCAAGGCCTCGACGCACATGAACCGCTCAACATGTTATTCGCGGCCCCCCGCGGAAGCGAATTGTCTACGAAGCAGTGTACCTCCTACGTGGTGTAGACGGGATGGCCCCCGCCATGGCAGAACACTGCGAACGCTCCTCCTTCGACGAGGACACTTACAGCGGCGACCCCATCTTCTACGACTGTGTCGGCGAGGATCGGGACGTCGCCTCGGCCACCGACGACACCAGCGACGTCGAGGCCAACCACCCTCACGAATGTTTTGACCCGCTTCTTGGAGGCGGAGGACGGGGCGGGCTGCGAGCTCAGCGGGGGCGGGGTGCCCTGGCTGAAGATTTCCAGCGCCAACTTTTCCAACTGCAGGCTTCAGTTCGCGACCTGGCAGCCCAGGTTCGAGGGGGGGAGCCTGAACCTACCACTCCAACTAGACGTCAACGCAGGGAGCCTAAAGTGTTGACGAAGCTGCGCCGCCTCATCAGGAAGGTGGACCGACAGGGCCACCCTCCCACGGCGAAGGAAGTGACGGACACGCTGCGCTCGCCGATCGACGACCCTCCTCCTTCGACTAACACCACCACAGCTGGCGCCAGTCCACCGACTCCGACGCCTCAGACCACACAACGCTACCAGAAGCTGGTGCCCAGTACATGGGGTACAGCGCCAGTCTGGCCAGCCAATACCATCAAGGATCGCACGTGTGATCCGACCAAGCCACCGGTAGTATCTTGTGTGTGCCACCTTCGTTTTGTTCCAGGAAAAATCTCACGAACCAGGCTGGACAGAAGCCGACGTCCCAGTGGAGGGGCCACAGGGAGGTGCCGTTCTGGCAGCCGCTCAGATCTACTACTTGGGAGCCACGACGCTCAGGCCTTCCGCACGGAGTTCGCGACGACGCTGGGGATCCCCCTGTGCAGGAGATCACCCCAGCCTCCATGCGGCTCACCATCACGAGAGATTTCGCCGAGGACGTGCTCTTCGCCCAGGCTGCGGAGAAGCCCGTCTCGGTCGCCTCCCTCATCTTCAACCCCACCCTCGCCAAGCAGGTCGTCAAGACCAAAGGCGCGGTCGCCTACGACACGGAGGTCACGGCCATCGTTGTCGTGCGCGCAGCCGCAGTCGACGACTTCCTCAAGTTCCCGCTCCCTCCGGGAGTCTTCCTGAACACGCAGGGCAGCAAGCTCATCCCCGTCTGGCACAAGCTGCGGGAGGACGAGACCAACCCCGCCCACTACAAGCGCGTCCTGGCGGCCACCACGGCCGCCGCCGGACGCATGGTATACCGCCCTTCGGACAATTCGTCGCTCGGTATCCTCGCGGAGGGCGTCGTGGCGGCTGGCATCCAACCTCGCTGGCTCTTGCAGCGCACCAGCCCTGCCTGGTCACAGGAGGAGGAGGAGGAGGAGGAGGAGGAGGAGGAAGAGGAGGAGGAGATGGAGGAGGAGGAGGAGGAGGAGGAGGGGGAGGAGGAGGAGGTGAGCGAATGGGCCACGCGCCGAGGCTTCAAGAACGTCTCCCACATAGTCCGCGCTGGGGTTCGCCGATGGTTTCTTCGCGGCGACCTGGCCGCCATCGCCAACGACCAGGTGCTTTCCTTCTCCTCAGGGGCTCCTGGTCAGCCTCGCGCCACCCCGACGCGGACAAGCAAGGCCCACGCCTGCGACGGCTCCGACGACGGCCTGGGGCACCCCTGGCCCAGCCAGACCGTCCCCCCAAGCACCTCCTCCCCCACCGGCGGCGCCGGAAGAGCAGGAGGACGAGGAAATGACCAACAACGACGGCTCTAACGAGCAGGACCAACGCAAGAAGGTGGCCACAGGACGAGCAGCAGCTGCTGCGGCCCCTGCGGCCCCTGCCCCATGCCCATGGGAGCCCTACTTCACGGCCAAGGAGTGCGGCGGCAAAGGAGACTGCTTCTACTGCTGCGCTGGCTACTTCAAGCACACGTCCAAGGCTCACGCCAAGCCGCTCGCCGACGCCGACCTCGCCCCAAGTGGCCGACTCCAGGCGCAGATACGACAGGCGGTGTCGGCCGAGCTCCGAAAGCAGAAACATCCCGAGGCCGCGGCCCAAGGTGCCGCCGGGACATAGGCCACCTCCAAGGCAATTGAAACGGCAGCCAAGGTCCTCAAGACTAATTTCGCTGTCTGGGAGAAGACTACGTCAGGCTGGGTACTGTTCACAGCACCTACGTCGATCACGACAACACGCACGGCATGGCTCACACTCGTCGACGGCCACTACCAGCTCCTCACGAATACGACCCCCTGCCGCCATCCACAGAAGAAGAGTGGAAGAAGTCCTCTCGTCCATACCCCCACCACTGCACCGGCGGGGGAAGGCCAAATCAGCGTCATCACGTGGTCTCCGCAGCTTGCTCAGCTTGGAGACTCCATCGGTGACCTCACCAAGTACTACTCGGACTCAGCAGCCAAGACGCCTCTCAAGCCGAGGGGCGCGCAGCATCCTGAGCCTACCGACGCCGCCTAAGGCCCCCTCCCAGGCGGGCACTGCCGGAGTACGACAACTCCTCAGCATCGCGGGCGACCCCGACGACGCCGTGACCCCACCGGTGGCACCCACGTGCCCCCGCTACGACGCCGACACCTACTGGCACTGCGAATGCGGCTGGAAGCCCAACATCCTGAACCAGACGGTCAACCAGATACGCAACGAGGCCCGTGTCCAGTGGCGCTACTGCCAAGGAGAGGACCTTCCCAAAGAACTTTTGGAAGCTCGACGCGCTCGTTTGGGAGTCGGAGGCTCTGCGACCGACGCCATGAATCGACGAAAACGCTTCGCAGTTTGGCAACGATTTACCACTTGGAAGACGGAGCTGGCCCAGCAGGCACGGGACGTCATTTGCGACCCCGTCGAGGCCTCCGCGTACACGACCCAGTTCTCACGCATGAAGACCACCAAGTACGCCTGTTCTCGCTGCGGCAGGAGCCTCCCGCTCGCCTGCTTCAAGAAGACGGCGCGCAAGAAGCGCCCTGACGGCATGACCCAACGAGCAGCTCTTCGCACCCTCCTCGGGCAGGCCAGGGCCGACAGCTTCCTCGAGGGAGCCTACAGGAAGTCGCGCAGACGCGCGGCGGAACGGGAAGCAGAACCTGGCCACTACGAGAAGCAGTACTACAGTCGGGGCCCTGAAGAAGGAACCCTGTTCGTTGGGGAGGGGCCCCGCGTTCCTTCGTTGTTTCCCAGTTTGCCCCACGTTTTCCTTAGGGCTTCGATACGGCATCGAAGTTTACCTGATGGGAAAAAGGGGCCTCGTGTCTTATTTAGGGTTCCTTAGGTCAACGCCTCGACTGTAGCTCTACGGCCGCCAGACTTACATCCCCCGGATGTCTCGCCAGAAAAGGGGAGGCAGCCGAGCCGCGCCGACGCGCTCGCCGACGGCCTGCCGCTGCGGCCTCCAGCAGCCGACGGGGCCCGCTCCCCGGGGGGGAGGCAAGACCCCTCGGTCTGCACGAACGAGATGGGTACGGAAAGAATGGGTACAATGCCCAACAGCAGTTCCCGTTCATTTTGAACAGGACTCGCTGTCCGCGCCGCCGCGGCCTGTGTCCATTTGAGACAGAAGGCCGCCCGCCCAACAGCGGCCGCTGTTGGTTCGGGACAACATTTGCTGTTGGGCATTGTACCCATTTGTTCCGTACCCATTTCGGGCGTCCAAATTCGGGGGCCGGCATCCAGGAACGCATCTACCTCTCCGACGTGCCAGCCCACGGCACCGAAAAGAATTCGAATCAATGCTTCAGATGCCCATCCAAATTCTCAGCAGACGCCCACGCCTCAACGGCGGCCATCGCAATTTA